TTTTATTAATGGGTGGAGTTTGTACACAGTCATTGAGCTGGCTGATTGTTACGACACTCTTAAGGATTTTCTTTGGCTGACCATAACTGAACTCAGTAACTCTTCCCCAGAGAGAGACTCAAATGTGACAGACAACTGAAGAAAAAGCTAGAGTGTGTCATTAAGATGATTTTGAGTTTTTGATGGAACCATGTAGTATTCTATGACAGGGGCATGTAAATAATAATTATGAAAAAGCTTTTAAAACATAAACAGCCCTAAAACTCAGTGGCAACCGTTTCAAATGAACAAAGTGAACCTTGACAGCTTCCACATCTGCTTGAGACGGCCCCGTCCTCTTCTTCTCAAGCTGTGCAGGCACTCCAGGAGTGAATCTGAAAGGAACACACCTCGTTTAGACGACGTGGACAAACAAAGCCTCTCTGACCTCTCAACCAGTGTAGTCAATCTCAAGTGTAGTGTCTTTTCTTGAGTCAAATAAACTGATACATTTTCCAAAGACAGCAGTCCTGAGCAACACTGTGGTAAATGCTAGTGGCTTTAGGTTTATAGTGTTAGGGGCCCATTTATATATTTAATCACCTCCACTGAGGGGTTTTGTTCCATTTGCTGAAGCAGATTTTGTTTTATGTCTTAGCAATTTGAAATACTCTGCAGTGATTTGAAACGTCAATCTTTGCAAGTATTTAGACAATTGCATGTTTTTTTTTTGCTCTAAAGGCTTTGAGTTTCAGCACATTCAATTAAAATATTAATGAATACAAGATTAACATAGAACGACCTGTGTGAAAGAGATGTCACTTCTTTCCACTGCTGGACACAGCTCTCGATGAGTAAAGGAATTAATTTTAGCCGAAAGAGTTAGCCTTTAACAGCTAAACCAGCCAAAGGGGGAGGGGGGAATTAAGCAGATTGCTCCAATCCCTGTATGTTACTGTGTATTCTGAAGTACACAAACATACAAGTGGTGACAGTTTTTGTTTTTTTTGATTAGTTAACCCACTCCACCAGCCAGGATCCAGCGGTTCTGAGGAGCTGCTGTCTGATGTGAACTTTTATCTTACGTTTTCGTTCGCTTGGCAATATCCTTTGCAAGCTGAGCACCTCGTTTGCCTTTGAACATTTTCTCCGCCTCCTGGCGCTCCTATGATGATATCACACAGTTTAAGTGAAAACCCTTGTTAATCACACACGGAGCTTTGACCCAAGGGGGGGACAAGTCCAGTCAGGAAACAACACAATTCACCACAACTCATTGTCCGTATCCACTGCAAAGTTTAAAAGTTAACCAGTAATAAAGTCACAGAGGACTGGTCAACAGCTTAATGCCTCACGTTACATAACATTTACAATTTGGATTTTGAAGAATAGGCAAATATACCTGCTCACTTGCACTTACCTTGAGCTTTACCTTCTGGAAGTCAAGCACACGGATCTGTGGGACTTTGTTGATGACATAGAGCCTGTAATGTTTCTTGTTGGTGACTGGATTCCTTAACAGGCTGAAATTTCAGTAATTATTAAGAACATGTACAACGATAATAGGGCAGTGCACAAGACCGAGTACTAATGATTCATACCTGAGGAGGGTCAATGTCTTCACTGAGGCTAGAGGGTCCAAGTCACCCTAAAAAACAAAAAATAAAAAAAAGAACGACATTACAACAAACAAAAAACACTACAGGCATGTCTTACCCTCAAGGCATTTTTTTATTTCACTTCACATAAAAATTTAGCCAAAGTTACTAATTAAATGTATTAGGAAGAGATTCATTAAGGAGCATTGGTCCAGATGAGTGAAATTTAATAAGAAAAACCACTGAAACGGAAAAAAACGGTGACATTTAACCCGATACAACAACATTAAAATACAATCTATCCTTTGGAGCCTGAGGTTTTATTGCTTGGTTGAATTATGACGACAGATTTCAATAGATATAAATAAAAAGAATCTTCATGGAGGTAACAAAATACAAGAATATCAGACTGTGGAAGAACTCAAATTTTCTAGCTTTTCAGACTATACGTTGCATTCACCATTTTAATTTCAAATACAAAAAACGAAGATTGTTCTGTTGCACTAAATGCTGTTGAAAAGTACTCACCAGCTCCTGAATATTGTTGTTTGTGAGAACCAGTTCGGTCAGACTCGGCAGCGATTGCTCCAGATTCTCACCTATACGACTGGAGAAAACATTGTATAAAGGTCATACAAGCAGAGTGGTTCATTTGGTTATTCAGGATCAACACATTTTGTTTTACAGGAAGATGCAACCTTAACTTACCAAATCCTGTTGTTGTTCATTAGCAGTGTTTTCAGTCTTTTGAGCAGAGGGAAACCATCCAGTTTTCTCACTTCATTATCAGAGAAGTCAATAGTGTCAAACTGGTCCAGTGTTGCTCCGAGATTTTCAAGCACCGGGATTTTATAACCTGTGGAAAAAGGAAAACATTACATTTTTCTTTATAGACATCAAAGAGATACGATAAATGTACTATCCTGGCTCATATTTTCTATTAAGCATTTGACGTTTTCTATCTTCTAATAAAATATAGAAGAGCCTGTTGCTTATTCAGTTTCAATTTCTTCATTGTAGACTACACATTGAAAACTGCATTAGAATTACAGTGTACATTTTAAAAGTTGTGATTATGATTATTCTCTCAGCAAATGTGCTCCTTAGTTTATAAAATTCCG